CAGTGTATGCGGTTAATGAATGCCTGGAATTCTTGTCTGATTGTTCCGAACAAGTCCTTTTCTCGGACCCAGTGACACAAGGATTGTTATAGCTGGTGATATTAACCAACTTCATTTTGGGTGTGAGTGAGTTGCGTAAGCTGTGACTTTGGGATTCGCTATTGTGATTAAAACTACGTCTATTGTATTTCAAAGTGAATTGTCGTGGATATCTTGGGAATACGGGGGCGATTCGCGACAGTAGTGGACTACAATATTCAAGGTGTGGAAGTATATAAGCCTTGTACAGCATAAGTGAGATGTCAGTCTCTGAGTCGTCTCAGAGCTCCGATCTTGGCATAGACCTTCTTTAAAACAGTTGATAGGTGGTCTTTAAAGGACAGCTTATCGTCAATATGAACACCAAGAATCTTCAGGAAGCGATTTATTTAGATAGAAGAGTCGTTGCCTGCGTCGCAGACACTCTAAACCTTCTGTATAGACTATACAAATGGTTTAGACGAGTGCGTGGGCCGGCTGCAACGCAGGTTACAGAGTCGCCAATAGTGAAGAACAGGTTCCTGAGAGTGCCTACCAAGAATCATTGCTTGGGTTTTCTTGCCATTAAGTCACAATTACTTTGAGGCAAACTAGCATGAAAGATTCTCAAGATCTCGGTTTCGAGACAGTTCCAAAGCTGAAATTTTGGTACTGGATGCATAGGCGGTAGTGTCATCGGCGTAGAGCCTGAGGGAAGAGACTTGAACAGAAAAGTTTAGATCGTTGATGAATATGTTAAACAGGAGTGGCCCCAGGAGGCTGCCTTGAGGAACACCGCAATACATTGGTAACCAATCTGAGAAAACTCCGTTAACCTTCACCCTTTGCTTTCGACCAGTCAAGAAGGAATGGAAGAAATCAATTGCCTCCTTCACCAACTCCATAAGCATGTAGCTTTGCAAGAAGCAACGACATATGGAATCAAAAGCTTTGGATAAATCAATTGCAATGAAGCTTGTAACCTCTCTGGAATCTACAGCCAGACGTCAGTCATCGACCATTTTGACCAAAGCACTGAAGTATGAACGTCCACCAAGAAATCTAGACATATTTGAAGAAAACAGAGGTTGGAAAACGTCATAAAGCTGATCAAAACTGACTCTTTCTAAGATCTTGGGTTTGATAGAGAGAACACTGATAGGTCTGTAATTCGATAATGATGTGCCATCATCTTTTTTAAGAATTTTTGTCACGTGGCTAAGCTTCCACTCCGCAGGCCACGTAGAAGTACCTATGCAGAGATTATGTAACTTTGTCGGGTGAACTGCTAGGGATGGCGCTGATAATTTAAGAATCTTAATGCCCAAGGCTTNCTGGTTGGAAGGAAATGTCCAGGTTGAAGTCACGTGATGTAATGGAAGAGACACTAGGGCGGCTAAAAAAATCTTCCTGCTTAAAGGGACTGTGTCACGATAGTGCGCATGTGTGGGCTGTGACAGTAGCTGATTGTTTTTAAACCAATCGAAAGCGAGTAAGATGCATGCACGGAAATTTACATAATAGGCCACTTGCACTAAGAGGTCACGTGACCAATGCTTCCTTTAAACAATGAGTTGGAATCTTGCTGATGCCAAAAACTGTTAGAACACACAAAAATTACCTTACACCCGAAATTTGAGATGAAACGCATTTAAGGGAGATATTTTACGGCACTTTGATTTTTCAGCAAAGTAGTATGATTTGTATTGGCCGCCATGTTGGAGGGCATGCTCTTGCCCTCCAACATGGCGGCCAAAACTACTTCTTGCTTATATCTTGTTCAACGTTTCATAGTTACGCTCAGATGTGCTGTAAAAGTTAGCACATCATGTTTTCAACATTTTCCTTGAAGTTTAAGTGCAAAATTTGTGTTCAGAGAGAGGTAATTCATAATTTTAAAAATCTCACTTTGGTAACGTGACCATTTACGAACTTATTCATTTTAAGAAAATGGTGCGGGTTTGAAAAACCAAATCACTATTATTTTGTTTAAGATATGACCCACTAATCGTTTTTCGAATGCAAAATCATACAACTTTCATTTTCATAAAAACGATGTCACGTGCCTCTTAGTGCAAATGGCCTATTCAAAATTCATTGTTCGCGAAGTGGGAGACTTCCGGATCTGTTTGTTCGATTTTATATATATCCCCATAATTCATATTTATTCTCTGGTATTCCTCACATATATTTTGCAGCCGATAAGAATAAGATTAACAACTCTGACCTGCTTTGAAACAAACATTTACCTACATGTAGTTTTTACGTACCAAGGCTCGCAAACCAGTCTCCGATCCACAAACAAAAATAATTTGTAAACAAACCTTACTGATATCTCTGTTTGCCCTAGAAATACCTTCGAATAGCGCCTTACCCTATGATTAAAACATACAGTATCGCATGAGGTAAACCTTTTGCTTAAAATACCTGCTAAATGCCCACTATAATAAAATAAGCCATGCGGTCGGCCAGCGCGATGAACACTGTAGCTCAGTCGATGGATACGAGCTGAAAATCGTAGCAGTGTTTGAAAGCAATTATAAATTGCGGTTCATCATAAAACGCTTCCATTGCAATAGTAGTAGCCACATAACGTATAAGATTATTCTAAAAGAACAACGGAAATGTAAGCATAAACAGGAGTCCATCACTTTGGCATAAATTTCAATTGCTTATCAGCAACAAAACAAATTCCATCCGAGTCGTTCCGTCGGGTGTTCGCAAAACAAACGTTATCGAGTTCAACACATGAAGAAACCAGATAATTAACACGACATTCAGGTAACAATTACAGGTAACATTCAGGTAACAATTTATTTTAAAAAGATCAATTGTTAAACATCTACGCTCATGCAGCAAAGATACAAGGAACATTCTAAGTGAACCACCTCGATCAGTAAAGATCGCGCGGCCTGTTGTCAGTAATTTCTGGTATACAACAACGGATCGGAGTCATAAATCGAATGCTTGTTAAAACGTTTCATGTTCGATGGATTCTTTCTTCAAACCACACACGGGTTCCTGTACAACAAAAGATTACTCAGTTTTCTTCTCCTGCTTCCAGGCACTCGAGAGAGTAAATTGTTGCAGACAAACGGAAGTCATGTGATTGTCGCAGATCAGCTTTACTCGCCGCTGCCTCCCATTGGTAGTCGACTTCTATATCGAGGAAACCCTTTTCAACTTTCTTTACATATTTAACGTTTAAAAACTATCTGGAAATGGTAGATCGTTGAATGGAGAACTTAATAGACACAAATGAAGGCCAGATGACCACATTAAACGCCACATTTGATCCGTTTGTAGGGACACTGACAACAAAGAATATGGCTTCGTGCACTTCTTGTAGAGGGGGACTTCTACCGGCTTTAGGATTACGTGAAGAGAGGTGACACAACCAGAGTTTGGCAGTTGACGATGGTTTTAATCTTTCCGTTGAAGTTACAAACTCCTCTTAGCTATCTTAGATCTCAAGGCGTAACTGTGAAGCTACTCACAAGAGGTTCTATTTATATTGAACAATTAAGTTAATTGATTTTTTTACAGTTTTACATGGCATTCATATGCAAGGAAAAGGTGTTAGTAAGTGTCAGAGTTTAGAAAACAAAAGGAACTGAATTGAGTTGATTCCCGCTACGTGTGGAAGAAATTTGCAAAACTAGAAATATCTCTATACCCAAATTCCTTTACAGGGAACCAAAACGATAGTTTGGAAGAAACTAAATTTTCCTAAGATTGTGTCGAAAGAAATTCTAGTTTGAGGTCAGAAAAGTAAGTGAAATTTGGTTAAAACTGGTTCAACAGAGAACAAAGAACTCGAAAGGTGTTAGGACGCGTGGCCTCAGGTTAGATTTTAATGAGATAAGGAAATCTGATTATGATTCAAGTTGGGAGCGAAAGTGAGAACCAACTCCAGGTTTAAGTAAACGAACTTCGTTAACAGGAAACGCTTGTTTTCCTATTCCACAGCTGAATACATCCACCTATTTCTATCTTTTGATCTGGTTTCTGTGTTTCTTACATAAGCTTGAAGAGGTGTTTCTTAACCTCAGTTAAACCTTTAGTTGTGAAAGACTGAAACTACACTTATGATGTTTCCTGCAATTACCGTGCGTCCAACTTCTATTTTTAATTGATCCCAACACCAAAGAGGTCGGTACAAAAATCTTTTAGCAAAGGACTTAATGACCAGCAAAGGTTTGCTAGTAAAAACTAAAGTGTGTCCAGCTGTTCTGACAGCTTGTAAACACTATCCTTTGTCCCTTAACAATAGATATTTGAGATATGGTGGAACTTTTGATTTCCGAACCGACCTAAAAACAAATTTATTTATATAATATATATCCCTGAATAAAGTTAAAATGCCCAACACGGAAGTAGATAGAATAAACTGAATAAATATTAATGATAACGAAGAGAAGCGCATACAATGAAGCAGACTGAGCAACAATGTACCCTAACATTCTCCTCAATGACTTCGAATTTTCTCGACAATGCTTGCACAAAGATACAAAATATACGTTTAAAACTTCCAACATGGACCAAATAACTCTTGAATGCTGATATAATAGTTTTCTCGGGCTTCTCAGGGCCGATGGAAGAGGATTTCTTCACCAAAAGCCAATCTTGAAAAAAGTTCGCCAGACCAGAAATCAAGACGCCGCACATGCGCAAAAGCGTGTCACAGTCCCTTTAAGCATCAGGGCAGACTGATCCAGGATTGGAGTGGAGAAGAAGCTGGAAAATATACTAGACGGTTCCTTAACGAATTTGTCATCATCTGTTAAGTGAATATCCTACTGCGAATGGTTGGCCCCAAAGCTTGCCATACGAAAATAAAAATTACAGTTAAAATCATTCAAGTTCAACGAGGATTTCTCCTTGGAAGAACGGTTTTGATATAGCATGAATACTGGAAAGCACAGATCGAAAACGACTACAGTCGATCAACGAAAGAAATGCATTAATGTTTCTTTCACAGCTTGCCTTACTTCTCTGATCTGCCAACAGTACAGCAACGGGTTTAATGACGAGTTTAAGTAAATGATGTTAAGCGTAAAACTCCGAGCAAGGTAAATCGATAAAGGCATCCCTCTTTGAGGCGTCAAAGCTACCGCTATAACATACGGAAGATAACAAATAACCAATGTTCCTTGCACCCACAGTGCCGCGTACACTGCCTTTCGGTAACGATCTATGTTCAGTGGAATTGCTTGGCTCGGTTGTCCTTGAGCAACATGGTTATGAATCTGATTATGACGCAGAGAGAAGAAAATTTTTGTGTAAGCAATGATTGTGGTGACTAGACACAGAGCTCCAACTAAATATCGAGACATGGAATTTATTAGGGGATTCCAAAACCAAGCAGATGCACCGACAGCAGAAAAAATCCAAAAAACTATTACAGTTATGTATGTTCTTCTCAAAGTTACAACTTGTTTGTATCTGAGCCCCAGCGACAAGGCGAGAAGTCTGTCCACGCTTATTGCAGTCAATGTTAGTAAAGACACTGCGCACAAAGTATAACTTAAGAAATTTGCCGCCCAACTTGCGTGATAGCAAATATCCCATCTTTCCTTTACAACAGAAGTCAAATAAGTCACAGCCAAAGGATCCACAATGATACCAACACAGAGATCAGTTATCGCTAGGTTACGATACAGGAGTTTGGAAGGTGGATGAAGTGAAGTTTCCTTGTGTAAAGCAACGAGGATCAGACTGTTTCCCAGAAATGCAGTGATGGACAGAAAAATATTTAAAGTTGAAAGAAAAATAAACTCGCCATCTACATCTCTGATACATTCGGCCGAGCAGAACAGTTCTCTGAAAGTTTTAAGGCGGCTTTCATCTTCAGTACAATTTGTCAGTGCCATCTTTGTCTCCGATGAATTGAGGTGCAAGTGAGTCTTTATTTATATGTCGTTTTTTTAATCTGGGTGGAACTGAAATGATATTCTGTATCTCTTAAATCAACTGTTGACCTAAGTGGGCTGGATATGCGATGATTACCATTGTTAATCCTTCTTGTGTTTATTTAACTTTTATCATCTTGTTCTACAAAAAGAGAAAAAAAAAAACAAATTCTGTTTTGCTCGTAAAAGCTGGAGTCCGTATATAGGAAACAGTGCGTATTTTTAGTCGGGCCAGACCCCTGACGGGGATGAAGGATTTACTAAAGTTGTAGTTTTTTAAACTAACCCTAGTCGAACCATGATGAGCCAGGTTAAACCACGAGGAAGAATTTAATTAATGACTTTTTAGATCTAAATATGTTTTCGTTACAGTTCAACCTTGACGTCAATTTGCCATTAAACTTGCAAAGATTTGGCAAAAAATTCCAATAACAAAAGCTGCTAATAAGCTTAAGCCGTCACCATTTTCCTAGCTAGAAGAGCGTAATACATGTGCGTCATTAACAAATTAATTAGTTATATTACTAATCGTGCGTGGCCAGATTTGACTGGCGTACGTATAGAGTACAACAGTAAAATATATAATTCCCTTGTAGAAAGGAAGTCGATCTTCAGTAACAACAGTCCAAACATGTCAATCAACGTCAATCAATCATGTTTAGTTTCTGATTTTCGGCTCTGTTGAGATAGGTAAAAAGACGAAGCCATTACCAAGGACACTCATTTCGATTGAACGTACCCCAAAACTATCAATAGTACTTAGGTATATAATAAAGATATTCACATTATGGCAACAACATTTTTCTCGACTAATTTTGATTATAGCTCAGGTCTTTTTTTATAAACACCTGACTGCTATTTATGTTAATTTATGTTTAAAGCCCAGCAAATAAAACTTCACAACACATAGATTCTGGTTATTCGTATTATTAATTTTCTTTCCTTTCCTCCCAAAAACACATATGGAAAACGAAATATCGACTGTTGGTAGCCTTTTTCAACCTATTTATCAGATTTCACAATTTACTATATGCTTTTCGTAGCCCCGGACGAAGGATAGTATTTTCTTACCAAAATATCGGGCTATTAAATTACCCTATCTTTCAGCTGTCAGCTTGCATTTGATTCTACATTACTGATCCTGATCTACACCAAGATCCGGCTTCACGTTAGTTCCAGGTCGTTTACGTTATATGTACCCCTATCATAATAAAGGTCCGTTTTTCGGGTATATTCACATAGTACGATGGTATTAGCACTATTTTTGCAAAATATTATGTGGTCGTGTGGGTCAATTTGTTTTCATGTGGGTAAACGGGTAAAACTAAAACGGACGCTTTCTAGTACGTGCTCGAGCTTCTCTTTACACCTTGTTTTGGGCAAAATACAACGGTTACAATAGCCCTCGCCACAAATTTTGTTGTTAATTGTTTAAGCGAATTTCGAACTATAATGGTCATGATGTAGCCTGTCCCATGCTCAGGTGAAACGAACTGAACGGAAGATTTTTAATAATGACTTTTCATGTTGCCTGTCCATTGCAAGCTTGACGTATGACAACTTACATTGCAGTAATTTGGCAGAAAATAACGAAAAACCAAACGGTTAAGTTTATATATAAGCTTGACTCATCACAGAACCATTTCCCCAGGAGAGCGTTATAAGCATTATTAACCAACTTGAAGTCAGATGGCCGAAAAAAGGTATAATTAGTGATAGCAACAATGGTTTTAATTTTTGTGTCTGGTATGGGAGGCAACTAAGTGAAAAACTTCGTAAATGCTTAAAACCATACCGGAAAGAAACCTCGGCTAGTAGAAGGGTATACGAAAATTTTTCCTGCTGACTGCCATTTCACTGCACTGCATTTAGTCGCAAGTTATTCTCGCAAGTACGTGCTGTGCATATTAATATTACCAGTTATTCCCCATATCTATATTGTGTAAGCTAAATTAACTAAGCGCATGGTGACTTGATTCTTAGTTCTTCCAGTTTTCCTGAATTATTGCACTGTCAGGTGATGACTCAGTGTTTGGTTATAACTAAAAGCTTCAAATAGACAGAAAACAACCTTAATAGGTCGGATGATGACACGTGTATTGATCTTGTATCAGTTGTTCTCACGCACTACTTTTAAGACAGAGAGTCGTCTAATCAATCCGCCCAGACATGTTAACCGCTGAGTCCGCTGAGATCAATTTTCGGTTTGATTTTAAGCGAATAACTAACATTTCTAGAAAAACCCACGGAACTAAGTACCATTTTTGTAGAACGGAACAGAGATCCAATACCTTCCTCTCCCTCTCCCCTGTGGATGGGTACTTAGTTACCTTTTAGACCCATGACAGTTCTTATATTTCCTCGAACTTAATAATCAACAGCTTTGCCATCCTGTGAGCAGAACCTCTTTTTCAAGTTGTACTTGAACGTGAAAGAGCTGGTCCTGCCATCCCTATGATCACAAGAAGCCTTAACAGTCCAAACTGATATCAACTTGTTTGGTTTACACCGGGGGGAGCACTCCCTCATTTGGCCTAGGGGGGTATGTGCCACTGAGCAGGGTATAGTTTTTAGGGTCTTTAGTCTTAAACATGGTACACAATTTCACTATTTAGCGTCTTCAACAGGGTGTCTTTTAGCCATCGGAAGCCTTTAAAACAGTGCACAGTTGACGGTGAGCGCTCTTTATATGTGGTGCCAACGATTTTTTCCCACCAAAAGTTCTAGCTTGTTTAGAGCAGATTCCGGATACGCTTTTGTTTCACGCGCGTCTTGTGACATGCAAATAAGCTAACAAAATAATGGTATTTAATGCGCCTGTGAATCAGCTGACTGTGTCCCTTTAAGTTTTAAAAAAATTACTCATTTGGGTATGCGAAACGAAATGAATCAGGGTCATGCATGAAAAAAGGTCTCTTGTCTTAAATGGGGTAGCGACATGCACAGTTTTCGTGTTAAACAGAGTCAAGGGTTTGATGGCCTCCGTGGCACACCTCTACCAAACTTCTCTTGGATACTAACTAAAAATCAAGGACCTAGAATTGGGGAAAATTACATCACGCGTCATTTCAGTCATCGCCGAAAATAAACCGCATGCTCATCACGAGACTCACCTTGGCTCTTGGTTTGACGACAGAACAGATTAACAAGACTTGTCAATCAGTCTTCTATCCCCTTTCAAAATATCAGACAAATAAGGAAGGCTATTCACAATCTGGGGCCTGCGTGTTTAAGTAATCTCATAAATATTAAACGATGTTCTCGCTATAACCTGTGGAGTAATGTCGGCGTTATTTTGCAAGACCCTATCGCTAAGTTCAAATGCACTCTTAGGGACAGATCATTTACTGCAGCTGCTCCAAAGATATGGAACGGTTTACCGGACTATATTAGGAAAGAGAATGATTTTGGATATGTTTAAGAGACTCATTAAAACGCACTATTTTAAAGAAGCCTAATGCGACCTGTCTTGGGCTATCTATGGTTTTTTAATTTCTACTTTTATCTTCTCTTTCTACTTCTTAATTGGAAAAAAAACGGCTGAAGTTTTAGATTCTCGCTCTGCTAAAGCAAGTTCGACTAATTGAACGGCTGATGATAAAACATGACGAAAGCGAGTACTTTTAGTTATTTATCAGTATGATTTTTCAGCTGAAAAGCATAGTAAACTAACTCGATCAACAGAAGAGTTGTCTTAATGTTTCTTTTACAGCTTCTCTTACTTCACTGATCTTCCAACAGTACAGCAAGGGATTTAAAGACGAGTTTAAGTAAACTAGGGTAGCTGTAAAATGCCAAGCACGATATGCAGATATAGGTATCCCTATCCCTCTTTGGGGCATCAAAGTGACCGCTATAGTAAACGGCAGATAACAAACAACCATTGTTCCCTGCACCCACAGTGCACTGTAGACTGCCTTTCTGTATCGAGCTATATTCAGTGGAATTGCTTGGCTCGGTTGTCCTTGAGCAACATGGTTCTGAAAATGAATTTGGTGATGACGCAGAGTACAGAAAATTTTTGTGTAAGCGAAGATTGTGGTGACTGGACACAAAGCTGCAATTGCGTATTGATACCATGTGAAGATAAATAGATTCCAAATAATAGTAGACGCACCAACGATGGACAAAATCCAAAAACCTATCACAGTTATACCCGTTCTTCTCAAAGTTACAACTTGTCTGTATCTGAGCCCCAGCAACAAGGCGAGAAGTCTGTCCACGCTTATTGCCGTCAATGTTAATGCAGACACTACACACAAAGTATAACCTGAGAAAGCTGCTGTCCGAAGTGAATAATAGCAAGTATCCCATCTTTCTTTCACGACAGAAATCCAATTTGTCACATACAAAGGCTCCACTATGATACCAACACAGAGATCAGTTAACGCTAGGTTACGATACAGGAGTTTGGACGGCGGATGAAGTGAGGTTTCCTTGCGTAGAGCAA